GAAAGAGTTCCTAGTAGCTCTGTGCCAGGTGATGGAGGGTTTGTTCTGAACCAGATTTTGAATTTTCCTCCTCTTTGCTGCATTTTCTGCTTCTGTCACAATTAAATGCTTGTGGGAGATTGGGACTGAATAATTTAAATTGTGCGTTTTGCATTATCCTTCTGCTGTTCAAGTATGTCCATTGCTTGGAGATCTGGTATCCTTGGTGTCTTCTTCCCTGGTCCTGGATGCATATCCTTCCCCAGCCCAGTCTGCTGTCCTTTGGGATGCTTGGTCTGCTTGCCAGAGCCTCCACCAGGCTCACTCAGTTCGTTACTTCAGTAGGAATCTAATCACCTTTTTGATAGTCATTACTGGGTTAATGCTGTTGATTCCTGTAGAGGTTTTTTAGACTTTTAGATGCAGTGCAAAGTACATAGCAGTGAAGTGGAGTGAGAGAAGTGAAGTAGCCAGAAGTGTAAACACATAGTTTATGACAACAGTGCAGTCAGATCAATTCATGCAATCATCTGCAGAACCAGTCAAAATAGCTGGGTATTTTAACAATGCATTTTGTACCATTTTGAATAATTGAAAATGCTGTGTTTTAACACACAAATTTACAACAATTTCTGGAATAGATTTTATCATTTCTTAAAATGTTATTATCTTCCTGTCTTTCAGGCTGAAGGTGGCCCATTGTAAGGGTTAATAATCAGTCAAATATTTAATAATCCTTTGTTCAGAAAATTTCCCGCATTGTTCATGGTAAGGCTTATATTTTATATTTAACTTTTAGTTGGTTGTGCTGTCACATTTAGAGTATTTCTTATACTTTTTTTAGTATTAACGTTTCCTTTAGCTGATTTCTACTGCAGTTGTGCACTTACTGGGAATTGCAACTTCACAGAGAAAGTTCCCTGTTTTGGCTAACTGAATAAATAAATATTTGAATAAATAAATATATTGATAAGAAAATCTTTTATAAATCACTATATGTCTGATAAAGCATATAACCAACATAAAGGCCTTTATGTGTTCACAATTTTAAAAGGAGTTTAAGATTATTTTATAATCTGTAAGGTTTTTTCTGGTCATATTAAGCAAAAAGAAAATATTTGCCAATTCTTTTAGTTTGTAAATGACATTGACTGTGTCAACATAGGAGGTTCCATGTGAACATGAGGTAAAACTTCTTTACTGTGCGGGTGACAGAGCACTGGACCAGGCTGCCCAGAGAGGTTGTGGAGCCTCCTTCTCTGGAGACATTCAAAACCTGCCTGAACACGTTCCCGTGTGACCTAGTCTAGGTGTTCCTGCTCTGGCAGGGTGTTGGACTGGATGATCTTTTGAGGTCCCTTCCAGCTCCTAATATTCTGTGATTCTGTGACTGTTGGGATTTTATGACTTAGACTACTTAATAAAAATTACAGAACTTTCCGTTGTTATTTTACAGGAGTTTTTCATCAGTATGTCTGAAACCATTAAATACAATGACGACGATCATAAAACTGTGTTCCTGAAAACGTTAAATGAACAACGTTTGGAAGGAGAGTTCTGTGACATAGCTATAGTGGTTGAAGATGTTAAATTCAGAGCACACAGGTGTGTGCTTGCTGCCTGTAGTACCTACTTCAAAAAGCTTTTCAAAAAACTGGAAGTTGATAGTTCATCAGTAATAGAAATAGATTTTCTTCGTTCTGATATCTTCGAGGAAGTTCTCAATTACATGTATACTGCAAAGATTTCTGTTAAGAAAGAGGATGTAAATTTGATGATGTCTTCAGGCCAAATTCTTGGAATTCGATTTCTGGATAAACTCTGCTCTCAAAAACGTGATGTATCTAGTCCTGAAGAAAACACACAGTCCAAGACCAAGTATTGTCTAAAAATAAACCGTCCTATGGGGGAACCTAATGATACCCAAGATGATGAGGTGGAAGAAATTGGAGACCATGATGACAGTCCATCCGATGTGACGGTGGAAGGAACTCCCCCAAGTCAGGAAGATGGAAAATCACCTACCACTACCCTGAGGGTGCAAGAGGCAATTCTGAAAGAGCTAGGAAGCGAAGAGGTTCGAAAAGTAAACTGCTACGGCCAAGAAGTAGAGCCTATGGAAACAACCGAATCAAAAGACTTAGGATCTCAGACCCCTCAGGCTTTGACATTTAATGATGGCATAAGTGAAGTGAAAGATGAACAGACACCGGGCTGGACAACAGCAGCTGGGGACATGAAGTTTGAGTATTTGCTTTACGGTCACAGGGAACACATTGTATGTCAGGCTTGTGGTAAGACCTTTTCTGATGAAGCGCGGCTGAGGAAACATGAAAAGCTACACACAGCTGATAGACCATTCGTTTGTGAAATGTGTACAAAGGGCTTTACCACGCAAGCTCATTTGAAAGAGCACCTGAAAATACACACAGGTTACAAGCCTTACAGTTGTGAGGTATGTGGAAAGTCTTTTATTCGGGCACCGGATCTAAAAAAACACGAGAGAGTTCACAGTAATGAGAGGCCATTTGCATGCCATATGTGTGATAAAGCTTTCAAGCACAAGTCTCACCTCAAAGACCATGAAAGAAGACATCGAGGAGAGAAACCTTTTGTCTGCAGTTCCTGCACTAAAGCATTTGCTAAAGCGTCTGATCTAAAGAGGCATGAGAACAATATGCACAGTGAAAGAAAACAAGTTACTTCAGCCAATTCCATCCAGAGTGAAACAGAACAGTTACAGGCAGCAGCTATGGCTGCTGAAGCAGAGCAGCAATTAGAAACTATAGCTTGTAGCTAAAAACTAAAGCAGGAACTTTATAAAAAATAATATAAGAAATTAAATTGAACAAGATCTATTGTTGGTATACATTTAGACTGAGAATTATCTTTTCAAGAAAACATATTTTTAGAGGATTTGAATGCTACATAGGAACACATAGCATTGCTTGGTTAGTTATTGTTTTAAAACATTTCAGAGATGAGTATTCTTAGAATATGAAATAGTTTTGTTGTCATTAGCAGTGTAATGCACTAATACCTGATTTAATTTGAGAATATGATCACATTCTCTATAAAACAGGGTTCATTGCCAGCTGATGTTTTGCTTCATCTAGTGTGGAGTACTGCATATGATGCAGACATCAAAATCAGTGACTTATGTTTAAAAATGCTGAGATCTCAGAAAATAACAACCATGGAAAGAAAATACTTGCTTTTAATAATTTTGAAAGTGTTATACCTACAATTTTTGAGAAACAGATGTTGATTCCTTAAGCTTTTTAGTTCCTCCTTTTTTCACCTTAATGTAAGTGCTAGAGGTTGGTATAGCAGAATGTAAGCGGAGAATGGTGATCAAAATGAAATTGCTTCTTATTCCATTCCTCCAGATATCCTCTTATTTTAATCAAGGTGGCAAGTTTAATGAAATACTTGCTTTCCTGAAAAAAGTGCACTATTCACAGTGGTCCTGGCTGGCAAAGCAGAAGGGTTGTGGCATTCACCAATCCCTTCTGTGGGGAAACGAGTCTGCCATGTTTGTTTTTATGTTCACGCTTATGCAGGCCCCTGGAGATGGGATAGAGCCACAAAAGAAGTCTGAAGCATGGAGAAGGAGGTATTTCCCTTACTTGGACCCAGTAGAAATTAGTTACAACTAGTACAGCCTGAGGCTGTAGGGTTTTTTGTGCAGCTTTCAGTTCACCTAACCTAGCACAGTTAAGGCACAGGAGTGTTTCTGGCAGTACAGGAGGATTAGCTGCACTGGTGAGTGACCAGGTGTCACTGCCAGCCCTCCCAGCTGCAGAGCACAGCCATGGGCTATCACGTATCTGCCCACTGTGTCCAGACTGGGTTTTGTGCCATGGCTGGTCATACCAGCTATTGGATCCTCCTAACCTTTAAAAACTTCTGTTTTCTGGCACACCACCTCTCAGCAAGAGGGTGAATTCAGTGAGTGATGTCAGTCATAATTGATCCAGAATCAGTGTTTACTAATAGTCTGTTACTTAGAGTTGCCTATTTTTTATTTTCAGACAAGCTGAGGTAGATGCTGCTAATTTAACGGTTAACTCACAGAGACAACAAAACATGAGGCCTCTGGATTGCAGTCTGCTATGTGTAGTCAACAAGAGAAGACACAATAACAGTAGTAATATAATCCAAAGGGATATGGAGCCTTTGTTTTAAATTTGTAAATACTACAACTTTTGTCAAAACTTCATTTGAAGTTGGAATGGGGAAAAAACCTGCACTCCTGGGTATGTGGTTGGATAACATTGGTCATTTGCGATAACTATAGCATATGAAAGTGTTAGACCAGTTTCTGGTAAGTTACTGTGTGGTAGATCACATCTTGCTTTTCTAAATAGAAATTGAAAATAGCATTTTTGAAACTGTTATATGGAACTTCGACTATTGGTTTTTTGTTTAGTTGGGTTTTTTACAGCTTCATTTAATTCATGTATTCATCAGGTTAAACAGTTATCTTAAAATGCCAATAATTGTTTGAAAGCTGGTCTGTAAATAAAACATGAACTTAATATTTTAGAAAATGTAAACTTTGGACCTTTACCAATATATTTTTTTAAAATGTTGCTTCATTTTACCTTCAGTAATATTAGTTTGTAAGCAAACTATACATTTTGTATCTGTGCAACATCAGAGGATGTGTATTCATTGCATTTTATTGGTTCTCTTGAGGAACATGATAAATGACCATTGTTATAATGTTTTACTGTATATCATAGATATAAAGATAGTAGGTCCAAAATGAGATCTACTTTTTTTTTTCTAAACATGTCAGTCTTGCTTTGTTTTCTTATCTAAAATTGTGTTCACTTTTTCTTAGATGATAAAATTGGGGTTGTTAAGTTTGACAAGAGCTCAAAAGTGTAAAAGATGTAGAAAGTAAGCTTTCTCTAGGTCTCCTGTGAAGAGTGCAAAAAGTAATGAGCTTAAATTACAGCAGTGAAGATTTACATTAGACATTAGGAAAAACTTTTAAAGGGTTGAATAATGAATTATTAGAACTGAATGCCTGATATTCAAGAACAGGTTAGAAAAACATCTGTTAGGAATGATTTAAGTATAGTTAATTCTGCCTTGAAGTTGAGGGATAAGTTAAATAACCCCTTAGGAAGACCCTCATTGTTTGGTTTTTTTTGGAAAGTAAGAAACGAAAATGGAGCTCACTGGGACAGCAGACACTTGAATGGAAAGAGAGCTCAAGGCTTACAGTTAAAGGAAATTGCCCTCTGACATTTGAGCACAAGCAGTCAGGTTGAGGATTTGAAATTGCTACAGAAAAGCAGGCTTGCATTAAAAGACACACAACTGAAAGTGTGATAACACTGTGTTTTACATCAGAGTGAATGGTGCTACTGTTAAAACTTACAGCTCTATGAGTTATACAAGGTTATAGATATAAGGGTTGCATGATGTTTGTAGCTTTTTAAAACTGGGACAGATACTATACATACGCTAATACAAAAGTGTGTAGACACAGGAACAGATGTCATCGTTGCACATTCCCTGGACAGGCATAAACACCTTTCATGAGACTTGGTTTTAACAGTCTGGCATATGAACAAAGTCAGTGAAATCAATGGGATTGCTCCCGTGTCAAAGATTTTGAAAGGGCTCTCAGCTTTTTTCTAGTTTTTAGCTGCTAAAGAGTCGGAAGACTGTCTGTTTTGTTGGGTTTTTTTCGAGACACTTATTAATTTTTTCTTCCCTTCCTATTTTTTTTTTATTCAAGACAGAGAGAAGTCCTAGAATACTTAAGCTTAAAGTTTTGGAGAAGGTTTCAGAAAGGAAGTGTGGAGGTAACCTTAGCTGTACATTATTGTTAATGTGTTCTAAATCCTGTTCACATGTGTACATTCTGAAGGGATATTAGCTTATATGTTATGAGGGTCTGTGAAATTCAGGTATATCTGCATCTTAAGACGCTACTGCTCCCAGCTCTCTCCTGTCTGTGCTGGAAGGCACCATGTATGGAAGCAGGTGTATGTCAGTTCCAAGCCACTTCACGCTTCAGCATGATAAATTCCGCTATGCGCCATGGGCAGATTTTTATTTTTGCTTTTACAAGGATGGCAACTTCTTTCAGAGCTTATGAGACAGTGGATGAGAATCTGTCCAATTAATGGGAATTTTCTGTTGACTTTATTGCGGCCAGACTTGCCTAATATTCCTAACAAGGTTTCCAACAGTGGGCAAATTAGCCATTTGGTGTGCGTGCAGGAATGCCAGAATAAAGCAATAGAAACATAGATGGCTAAAATAACATTAGATATGAATTAATTGTTTTTATCAGAATTAAGTTGCAAAAATATTGTGCATGGAATTAGTCCTAAACATACACTTCTTCGTCTATAGTCTGTGAAATCAGTGTCATTCTATATTACGTCTTTAATATACACAGGATAGCTAAAACTCAGTTACTTCGTTGGCTTCTAATAAATACCTGTCTGTGTTATGATGATAGGTGACTGAGTGGCTTCAGTGAGACTCTCCGTGTATTGAAATTAAGTGTATGAATAGGTGTTTGCATGACCAGGGCTTACATGTCTGTAATACAGCAACAAGTTAGTTGATGTGAAATTACGTTCTTCTGGTAACTCAAATGGGTGTGTATGGTCACCACCAGCCGAGATGCTAAACCAAAGTCTTCTCAGTTGCAAAATGACATGAATATTAAAGTATAACCATTTAGTTGAAAGGGTTTTTGTTGTAAAAGACTAACTTAGAGTGAAAAAAATATTTGAAATAAGAACTATTCTATGATCTTAACGGTGTTAAAAATAGAGTGATATTTTTGTTAAGGGAAAAAGGAGCAGAGAGAACATATTCTGAGCTCTGGTATCTGTTTAATTTCTGTTCCAAATTGTATTAGCCATGGCTATGCTGCTGGTTATTTGGCACAACTCAGTTTGGAAACTGCAGAAGTTCAGGAAAGAATACCTTCTAGCCCTTCTCCACTCCCCACCCCTTCTTCTATGCACCCTTCTTATCAGTATTTAAACAAACGTTAGAAGATGAAGCAATTCACAGTTGAGTACTTATGTTTTCATATTTCTGCTTTAATTTTTGAAAAAGGTTTAGGCCTAGAGATCATAGTTTTAAAGGCTGTTGTGTGAAAATGCTGACTTAATGCTCAGGAGTTCAGCTTCTATTTCATGTAAGTTGCAGAATCCTGAATACTTCTCAAACTCTTGCCAAAGTGAAGTGCTTGTGAAGATCAGGCCCTAACTTTCTAATTTAGAGTTTGCATTCATGAGTAGGTATGCTTAACTTAATAGTTGGGTGAGATATAGAATAAAATATCAGGTGATATCAGGAAGTCTGCCATAAGCTCGGCATATATTTTTAGAGACAATTATCTGTTCTTAAGTCTTTTATCAATTTAGACACCTCTCTGTCTTACAGAAGAAACAAAGCATTTCTGAAACAAAGTACATCTACTGCTAACAACATACGAGTTTTCTGAATGTAAACATTTACACATCAGTACAGAATAGGATAATTTTACCTAGAAGGTAAACACAGCTAAAGAATTTTTTTCTCTTTCAGACAGCCAATCCATGGATCACAGTAGTGTTCCCTATCAGCCAGAAACGTGCACGTTTCATTAAAAATTCCATTACAGCAGTTGGTTGGTCATTTGTCTTCATATAGACCTAAACCAATTATAATAACATTCATTTCAGAGCAGATGAAGGATTTCTATGAATAGATTTTGTTGAATATGAATCATAAGAGTAGAGATATCTCTTCGCAGGAATTATTTTTAAATGT